GTAGTAGTAGTAGTAGTAGTAGTAGTAGTAGTAGTAGTAGTAGTAGTCATATATCTAGGTCATCTATCCTACTAGTACCTGTAAGAATCGGTCAACCATTATTACTTAAGAAGGCCTTCTTGCCCAGGCCCCGAATAGACACCCTGAGACCACCCGACGGTCAGTCCTGTGGATCGCCCGACGGGGTGGCGATGGCAGAGACCAGACGAACCATTGAAAGGCTCGAGCTCTGTTTAGTCTACAGTACTGTACAACCTTTTTGACCTAGAACCTGAATGACCCCTTCTCAAAACTTCTAAATATGGTTATACAATCCCAATACAGCTTGAAGCCTGAATGACCCAAGCTTGGCCAGGGTATGAGGTGGATCCCGAGTCCGTGAGGACCGAGGAACGTTTGGCGCCGTCCTCAGACGAAATAGACGAAACAGATGCCCCTGTTTGTTCGGTTGCTTTCCACAAGAACTTGGCAAGGACACCAACATGCTTAGCTGCTAGGCACAGACATTTTTCGCCACCTAGCCTGACTCGAGTTGTTGAAGTGGCAATGCTTCGTGCGCGAAGACCGCAACGAGAGTGTGAGGTCTATGCTGGCGCAGGCGGGGTCTCCCGTGGATGCTTCTACCTGTTTTCTTGATTCCAAGGGAACCTGTCCGTTTGGACGGCACATGGGTGTGTCTGAAAATAGGGAGACCTCCCAGGCAACGACCCCCTGGAAGAAAGAAAGGGATAGATAGATCCCGAACCGGTTGGAGGTCTCCCTATCAAATACACACCCACCTGTCGGATGAATCGGATTGAGCCGGGCGGTGGTTGTCAGGCCGAGGCAGCTATCAGCAGGTCAACAGCATGGAGATGGTGGGCCCGGGGTACAGCTGGCATGTCTTTTGGGCGCAAAAAGCGAGGACATGGCGTGGCAGAAGAGTGAAGATTCTTCAATTGGCATCAATTCACCACAGAGAAGATTCGTAGCACCTTAAACCCATGGTTCTTAGTGCCTCAAAACACACAGACATGCACAGACTGTTGCTCGATTTGGTCCACCATCCACACCTTTGGGCCCGTTGCGGCGGCAAAAACAGACAAAAGCCTGGCAGTGAGCCACTTTCTCCCGGGCCAAGAGCCATGAAAGCCGATGCCGGTTCTTTGGGGGTTCCATCCACTTTCGCTTTGGGACCGGGAGAGTGGCTGCTCGCATGTGCAGCTGCCAAAAGGTCTACCTACTTCACGTGCTAGAGGTCTAAGAGGTGAAGGGAGGTACTTAAGTGTGCGGGGGATATATACTTCTTCCACTTTTGAAGGGCTCCAGACTCCCTGCACCCACCGTCCGACGCGGTCAACCGAAACACGCGCGGTAAAAGCGCCACTGGACCGGATGTCAGGAGGGGTGACTTTGAGAAAGAGACCGTGGTCGTTTCCTCAGGCATGGTTGGTTCTTTTGGGTGACCCTTCTCTTTTCTTTTTTCGAAGAATGGATTGCGATTCACTTGAATGTGCACATGGCTTGGGCTTCAAGCTACAACTCAAGTTTAAAAGACCAGTTTTGCTTCTTTGTGACGGACGTCACCCAGTCACCTGGGCCGATGGATCTGTGCCACTTGGTGTTTTGGCCGGGTAAACATCCTCGTGACTTGGTTTGGTGAGTCCCACAGACTTGAGATCACTCAGACGCTATACGGGTCACAACGTGTCGAGGGCAGGTCCATGCTAGGACCGCGCTAGGAAGCACCGCGTGTCTCGTGTGGCACCAATGATGCCAGAAAAGAATGCATACCACATCCACCATAAGCCTGTATCACATACCTTGGGTGAAAACTCCGTGAGTTGGCCATGCATCGGTCTGCATCGGTCTGCACGCTGCTTTGTCCTCGGTGATCTTCCGGTCTTCATGGACCATGCCAATAGATTGAAGAAGAATATAGAGACATTCCTTGACTGCCAAACAAGAACATTTCCCGATGGTAGATTGAAGATTGCATTGATGGGTGTTGATCAACTTGGACATCAGAACGAAGCAAGCTCCCTCCTCAGCGCTATCGTCCAGTCTCAGCGCTATCGTGCCAGGAATGAGGCGCAGCCAGAGCTGGGAGGGCGGAGCGGCGGAGCCAGAGAACGGAACCGTGCATGATGCACAGAGGAAGATTAAGATATACCAGTGATCATGCTTGGTTGAAGGTTGCATGTCAGGATATATGATGACAACCCCCAGAACACGTTGCGACTCGTGTTCCTTAGTTTTGCCTTGATCGAAACAAAGAATGGATGGCACCTAACCCCCCAACTCCCAACATCCAAGCAAGCTCCCAACATCCAACCATCGTGCTTGATTTGGAGTCCAACATGTGCACGCCAGGAGTCATGGTCGTATGAACATGTATGGAACTGCCAGGCTGAGTGGAGCCGCCATTGGAGGTGGCTGCTGCCTCCTCCTCACGGTGGTCTTCTTGCTGATTGGCTTTCTCAACAATTGGTGGCAGTGATGGCCTCAGGAAAATTGATGTGCAGAGTGGGGGGGGCCTATTGAAACTTCATGATATTCGAATATATTCGATGTGTTTTTATTTATTACTGCTCTTTCTCTGTACAGACTTAGTGCGTGTCGGCCTCTAGCCGGTGCCTCTTCGCTTAAGAAAGGACTAGGTGTGCATTCATTGAGACTCGCGGAGTGCCTCCTGGAGACATGTCAGACATAGACTCCTGGACGGTCGTTCTCGCAGGTTCTTTTTCGATGGGAGCAGGGGCCACTTTCACCGTTTCGTGGAATTGTCGGTTGGCCGAAAAGCAGAAACTCGAGCCGTTTTGTTCGAACCCCGCTCAGGGACACCCGAGACTCGTTTTGTTGAGTTAGTGATGTTTGAAGTCCCTATCTCCTCATTCGGGACGTCGCCCAGCACCCACCCTGCGGTGTGTTGGCCGACTGAGGGCAGTTGGGGCGGCACCAGTCAGTGCACCTCGTGCTAAGCAGATCAGAGCATGTATTTTTTTGGGGTGGCTCAGTAACAAGCTGTTGTCGAGATGTTCCGAACCTTGAAAAGAGCATGAGACTTCGTGCCTCACAGATGGGTGGAAAGCGAAGCAGGTGTAAACAACGCAGATATATATGCATGCATGCAGATATTATATAGTTGCCGAACCGATCTAATTGAGCTACCTGTTGCAGACTAACAGACAGGCTAACAGATAGACTAACAGTGACTAACATGCAACAAACGCTTGCTTTCCAGGACACTCCACACCGAGGGCTGGGTTTTTGGGGATTGACTGAGGAGACGTGCGAGCTGATGACCATGGCGGCAG